ATTATTTATTAACAATTAAAAAAATTGCTATTGTGTTTTTAAGGCTTTGCTGAAACATCTCTCTCTCCTCATATGGAACTCATGCAGTAAGGCACGCCCACGGGTGTACGGCAAAGCTTATATGCCTTGCAACTGAACTCAAGGGTGTACCTTGCGGGTGAGGACGTCAAAACAATAACTCGAAACAGAGTAACGCGCGAGACACATGCGCGAAATATCCATCCGATCCGACGCCCGATCTGGCAATACGACTGCCTGATCCGAAAAATTTGGTCGCTTCTGATCTCGGATCGGCGATCCGGCGTGCGTCCAACGTGCCAGATAGTTTCGCACGGAGGACGGACTGTCGGAAGCGTCCAGCCAGTGACAGCACAGCTAGCGCGGATGTCATGATGAGGTACTGGGTCTGGCGGGGCGAACAAGAAAACAGGGCGGGCGACGGAAAGCCGGACGCGTGGATCCCGCTGACCCATTCGAAAAAGATGGCCCCGGCAAAAAATGCACGCACTAGCGAGAACAAGCTCCTAACTTCGCTTGTGCGAGCTAAACCGTCAATCAGGGACCGGAGATCTATGAACGCGGACCTCCGCTGGAGTGCTTGGAAGTTGGATCTCCTGGGCGGAGCCGAACGGATTGTCGTGTCGCTTGCAAGGTCGGAAGCGTGTGTCTCAAATCGGAGCGGCGTTCGGACTGTCGGATCGGACGTCGGATCGGACGATTCTGCCGTCCATATATCTCGCCCTTAGGTGAGTGTATTTGGTGGTAGTTATATGCACGAGGCGCGTAAATAGCAGTCATCGCACGTGCACAGTCTTAGGTATACTTCGTTTCAGCTTCCGTCCGAGCGCAGCCAAAGCTAAGTGTGGCCGGAGCCAATCACAAACCGGCAAGGGGTCACGCGATCTCGCCTGCACTTTTGTATCACTCCGCTGCGCGGCTGGTCGTCTGCTACAAGTTCAAAAAGTGCCTGTTCAGGCTCTGAAATTTAGTCACAGGGGATGTGAGTACGTAGGCTGACCGCTGGTGTCTGTGTCCGAGCTTTCAAACTGTTCGGCATTTCGGCACAGTTTCGAGACGTAGGTACACAATGCAAGGTGCCCGATGACCCGGCCGTTGATGTTTCCTTGTAATGTCTGGATATACCAGGGCTCGAGGCGCAGTCCTTTCCACCAGCTTCTCGGCGTTCACTGTGATCGGCAGGTAAAGGGGTGCCCTGATTTCGCAGCGTATCAGTGAATTGCAGTGGCCCGGACGATTTTTCTGTTTACAACGCATTCGCGGTACGACGCGGCCGGAGTCTTCGGCCGAATTTGAAAGTAGACATTCATCACGACCTCTCGCGCCTGACGCCCGAGCGTGCCTTTGTGAAAGGACGTTTTGAAGCGACTTGGTGAGGAAAGCAGCGAAGCACATGATTTGGCCATTACGGGAACGAAATCACACAGAAAAACCGAGCGCTGCAGCCGTGTTGCCAGCGGATGTACGTATTTTCTCCAAACTACATGCATTTACATATATTAATAAAACATAAACTTCAGATAAATAATTACTTTCGTTGCAGGTCATTCTCAGCAGTACACACCTGGAATACTGTGCATTGTTTACGCCACCAAACAGTTACTAAAAATAATTACTTTTGCGGACTACTTTGTGGTGCGTAGGAATGCTCTTCTCGAAGTTGCGAACCGTCCCTCAGCCTTTGGCTGCGCTCGGACGGAAGCTGAAACGAAGTATAGTATTTGTCATGTCCGGGCGCGCGCCGCCGATAACAGAATATCGTAGTACGGCGCATGCGCCACTAAAAGATAAAAAGCGGTGCTCCGCTGGCTACCGCCTTCTTTTGCTCAGTTACACCACATCCATGAGCATGGTGGAATAAACCTGTCCTTTCGCCTTTGGAAACCTGCTTGTTCCTCGCTTCTGGCCGACATACAACAACTGGCGACGAGGTTGGGACAAGGACCGTCGGCCGAGAAAAGCAGGTGTTTCCGCAGGGGCGGACATAGCATCGACAGCCATCATGAGCGAAGAAGCCGGGACGCACTTCGCCGGTCGAATGGGTTATCTGGAGCCATTCGACGAGTCTTCCAGCGACTGGGCTTCTTACGACGAAAGGTTAACGTCGTTCCTGATCGTCAACGGAGTTCCAGAGAGCGACAAAGTTCACGCCTTCCTCAGCATCATCGGTCCGAAGACCTACGCGCTACTTAAGTCCCTGACTGCTCCGGAGCTGCCTTCAACGAAGAGCTTCGAGTACCTCAAGAAGGCCCTCGGCGACCACCTGTCACCCAAGCCGTCCATCATCGGTGAGCGAGCCAAGTTTCACCGGAGAGCGCAACATGAAGGCGAGTCTATTTCCGAGTACGTCGCCGAACTTCGAAAACTGTCGCAAACGTGCGACTATGGAAGCGTTTTGGACGAGTCGCTCCGCGACCGCTTCGTGTGCGGATTATTAAGGGAAGACATACAGCGCGTGCTGTTCACGGAAGACAGCAAGCTAACGTTCCAGAAAGCGGTGGAACGCGCCCAAGCCATGGAAGCTGCGAAGCAAAGCGCGGCTGAGGCTCGCGTCGGCAACTCAAGCGTCACTGACGTGCACAAGGTGCAAGCAGGGAATGAGAAGCAGAGGGACAGCTGCTATCGCTGCGGATCGTCACGGCACCGCAGTCAAGAGTGCCCTCATCGGCAGAGTGTATGCCACAAGTGCGGCAAGAAAGGTCACATCCAAAGGGTTTGCCGAAGCGGGACTGACGTAGGGGGCAAGAAACGTCCGCCAGGAAAAAGGGTAAAAACGCTGGAAGTTGAAGGACGACTAGCCGTCGTACACGGCGTGTCTTCGCCCAGCCTTACCCCAGTGACGGTGCAGATGGTGATCAACGGATCTGCGGTTGAAATGGAACTAGACACAGGAGCAGCGGTAACTGTAATGTCTGCTAAACAGTTTCACCAGTCTTTTCCGTCTGTGAAACTGACGCCAACTGTAGTCAGGCTTCGCACCTACACGGGAGCCCTAGTTCGACTTCAAGGCGTTGCGACAGTCAATGTGCAACATGGTGAGGCGTCAGTACAGCTGCCACTGTACGTCGTCGATGGAGCCGGGCCGCCACTACTGGGCCGGGAGTGGCTTCGAACGATACGACTCGACTGGAACAAGATCTGGGAGCTGAATCACATCTCAAGGTCAGACGTTTTTGCTTCTAAACGTATAAAACAGAAGCTTGACTCTTTGCTGTCAAAGTACGAGCCACTGTTCAACGATGAGCTCGGAACTATAACTGAAGAACGAGCAGAACTTTTCTTCAAACCGAACGAGAAACCGAAATTTCTAAAAGCGAGAAACGTTCCGTTCGCGTTGCAAACGGCTGTTGAGGCGGAGTTGTCGAAAATGGAAAAGATGGGCATTATCACTCCGGTGACTACAGCAGAATACGCCACGCCTGTCGTGCCGGTTATCAAAAAGGACGGGGGCATTCGTCTTTGCGGCGATTATAAGACCACTGTCAACCCTTGTCTTGATATTGACCGTTATCCACTTCCAAAAGTTGATGATCTATTCGCGGCCCTATCAGGAGGCGAACTCTTTTCGAAGATAGATCTTAACCGAGCTTATCAGCAGGTGGTGATGTCAGAGTCGTCAAAACGCTACCTCACGCTGAACACGCACAAGGGGCTGTTCATTGTAAACAGACTTCCTTTTGGAATCTCGTCAGCACCCGGAATTTTTCAAAGAATAATGGACACCATGCTGAAAGGTTTGAGCGGCGTTTGTTGTTATCTAGATGACATTTTAGTCACGGGCAAGACTACGGAAGAACACATGGCCAACCTTGAAGCAGTGTTGAAGCGTCTACTTGAACGAGGAGTTCGAGTCAAGAAAGAAAAATGTTCGTTTTTTCAGCCTGAACTTCGCTATCTAGGTCACAGGATCAGCGCTGACGGCATCTCGACGTCGTCTGACAAGGTGGAGGCGGTGCTCCAGGCTCCCGAGCCCAAGACAAAGCAGCAGCTCCAGTCTTTTTTGGGTGTCGTCAATTACTACGCCAAGTTCGTGCCCCATCTTGCAACGACAGCCCAACCGTTTTACAGATTGCTGCGCAAGGACGAGCCATGGTGTTGGGACCAGCTTTGCCAGGAAGCCTTCAACACCATCAAGGCCGAGCTGGCGTCGCCTCCCACCTTGGCCCACTACGACCCCGACAAACCGCTAAAGCTAGCGTGTGACGCCTCTCAGTACGGGGTAGGTGCTGTAATTTTTCACGTTTACGCAGATGGCAGCGCTAAACCCATCGCTTACGCTTCGCGTACGCTATCGAACGCTGAAAAAGGGTACAGTCAGCTCGAGAAAGAGGCACTAGCCATTATTTTTGGAGTTAAGAAATTCCACTCGTATCTTTATGGTCGGCTCTTCACTTTGGTCACGGACCACAAACCACTCCAGACCATTTTAGGTTCGAAAACTGGAATTCCAACCATTGCCGCTGCGCGATTGCAGCGTTGGGCAGTCGCATTGTCGGCCTACACCTACGATCTTATCTTCAAGAGATCAAGCGAGAATGCCGAAGCAGATTTTTGCTCGCGTCTTCCACTACCGACCGTTGGAAACGAGACTAAAGAAAATGAGGAATCATTCTACTCATTGCGACTGCAATCACTGCCGGTATCTAGTAGTGATATAGCACGTGAAACAGCGCGAGATCCAGTTTTGTGCCAAGTGAAAGAATTCACAAGCGCAGGCTGGCCTGCGTCTGTCTCTGACGAGAAACTAAAGCCTTTCTTCGACAGACGCAACGAGTTGACCATTCATCAGGGCTGCATCATGCTCGGAATGCGAGTTGTCGTCCCAGGGAAACTGCAATCCCTGCTGCTGGATGAACTTCACGAAGGCCATCCGGGTATTGTGCGCAGCAAGGAGCTCGCGCGCAGTTACGTTTGGTGGCCGGGAATCGAGGCGGACCTGGAGCGCAGCGTAAAGAACTGCGTAAGTTGTCAAGAGCAACGTAGTGCGCCTGCCAAGGCACCCCTCCATCCGTGGTCATGGCCCACAACGCCGTGGCAACGTGTTCACATAGACTTTGCTGGACCTTTTCTTCAGTCTATGTTCCTTGTTGTGGTAGATGCCCACTCCAAGTGGCCAGAAGTATTCATGATGCGCTCAACCACGACGGAGAGCACGATTAACACTTTGAGAGAACTTTTTTCTCGTTTTGGCAACCCTGAAACTATCGTGTCAGACAATGGTCCTCAGTTCACGTCACGGGAGTTTAAACAGTTCACACAGGAAATTGGCTCTCGTCACGTCCTGACAGCTCCCTACCATCCAAGTTCAAATGGTTTAGCCGAACGCTTTGTACAGACCCTCAAGAACGCCCTCCGTAAAAACAAGGAGAGTGCGCCTTTACATGTGAAGTTGCAGACGTTTCTGCAGAGCTACCGCAACACGGCTCACGCCACAACGAACGAGTCACCCGCCAATTTGTTTTTGGGGCGACGTTTGCGCAGTCGCCTAGACGTTGTAAAGCCTTCTGTGGGGGAAAGGGTAGCCCGCAAACAGTTCATGCAGACTGCAAGCCGGCGTGGGCACGATCGTGACTTTGCCGTTGGTGATCATGTGCTCATCCGTAACTACTGTGGCAAACCCAAGTGGGTGCCTGGAGTGATTCTTGCGCAGCATGGCCCTGTTTCCTACCAAGTACGCGCCACCACCTCCAGAGGCAGCTTCACCTGGCGTCGGCACAAGGACCAGCTGCTAAGAACTCCAAGCCTTGCCGACGAGGACGCTGACCAGGAAGGCACAGAGTTCTTGTTGGTTCAACCGAGCGACAACGCACCCCAACCATCGTCCTCGTCACCTACTGGCGGAACTGTCCCAGCCGAAGCAGCACAAGCGCCTGCTGCCCGACGGTATCCGGCAAGAACCCGGAAACCTCCCGAAAGATTTCAAGCCGGATCTTAACCTTTTTGAGCGTGTTCAAATAAAGAGGGAGGAAATGTCATGTCCGGGCGCGCGCCGCCGATAACAGAATATCGTAGTACGGCGCATGCGCCACTAAAAGATAAAAAGCGGTGCTCCGCTGGCTACCGCCTTCTTTTGCTCAGTTACACCACATCCATGAGCATGGTGGAATAAACCTGTCCTTTCGCCTTTGGAAACCTGCTTGTTCCTCGCTTCTGGCCGACATACAACAGTATTCGACGTTTATAAAATGTGTACGAAGTAAACCAAGCTGCTGGTTTGGCAAAAGGAACGGTATTGCTTAAAATTACCGAAAAGCCCTGGTTTTGCGCGCGTTGTGGTGTCTTTTATTTGCCTAACTCGAGTGATGCCGAGTCTGCAAATGTACTTTGTTCAAGCACAGGAAAAGTTTTAGAAGAACGTACGGTATGGACTACGAGCGTTGCCGGCACGTGCCAATCCATGCTCAAAGCGACGGCACGAGCTCTCGCCAGCAACGCAGTCCTCCTACGAACCCCTTTACACTCAGGGAGAGGTGCAGTCTATCGTGTGCCTGCTCTCAGCTCTTGCTGCAATAAACGGGTAAACAAATATATTTTTGCAGTGCATGCCGATGGCCCAAAATATTCAAGACTACACTGGCATTTTTTTATGTTTTGTGTTTGACGGAATCGGAGAAAGCTCGGAGAAAGAAAGCGATTCCAACTCTGCTCGCGTTATTATAATTGCTGATCTAGACTTCTTCACGTGCTTTAGTGCTCCAATAAATGTGCACAAACGCTAGTTTCTTCCCGTTAGAAAACAAAACTGTCTTTATATCTAGAAAAAAAAAAAAGAAAAAAACTATAGTCCGCCGTATGCATTAGCAAACAAGTACGACCCGGCGCGCAGGCGCAGCGCCTTGTGGGCCTCGCCCAGACATGGCGGTGGGGGGCGTAGCGCGGAAGGAGGCAAGGAGGATAGCTTTCGATGGAAAGGAGTAAAACGCAGGGAGAGGAGGAATTAAACTAAGCACGATAACAGCTCCACCCTTTAGCGACGAGTTGAAACATGAAAGTTGCTTCATATGGCTATCTGCTAGTCAGTGAACGTTCCCAGAGTCCGAAACTCCCAGGCACGAGGTGCCAAGATGGCGGCTCAATCTTTTTTCTATAATGTGGATACAGTTGCCTAGAGAGGGGTAGTTGGTCCACTCGGCCATGAAAGCGGTCTTGACGCGGGTACCCGCAAACGTGCGAAAAAAAAAAAAAAAAAAAAAAAAAAACAGAGGATAGCGATACAGACAGGACAAACTTTCAACTTCAACAACATTTAATTTTCGCCTTCAAGCTCAAAGCCCGCCCGCTCCGTGGTAGTGCGAGAAAGGGAAATCTTGGGGGAAGGAGAGGAGGTGGAGGGAAGTTGCCAAACGAGGAAGGGAGAGGAGGGAAGGGGGCTCGAAGACTGGATGTGCGGGAAAACGGAATGAAAGGAAAGGCCGCTTCTGCCGATGACCTTGTCGCCTCGTCTAGTCTGTCAGCGTTCGGCTTCCATTGTGGGCCTCAGAAAGATAATCTATTTTCTTGAGAGGGAGATGGAAGGGGTGCTTTTGGTTTTCGGGCTTGTCGCCATCTGATAGGCCTCAATTATTTCTCTCTTTGATAGAAATAATTGAGCGCCCTTCCCTCCTCTCCCTTCCTCCTTTGGCAACCTCCTCACTTCCTCCACCTCCTCCCCTTCCCCCCAAGATTTCCCTTTCCCGCACTTCCACAGAGGGGCGGGCTTTGAGGTTGAAGGCGAAAATTAAATTTTGTTGAAGTTAAAAGTTTGTCCTTTCTGTATCCTCCCTTATGTGTCTCCACTTTCTAAATCTTTAAAATGCACCAACACGCTCAAATAGTACAAGAGGATAGCGATTGCGCTGTAGTGGACTTTACCCTAACTGTATTCAGTTTTAGTATAGCGTTGCTGGCTCTTACGTATTCAATACGCAATAATGTAGCGTGCGCTAAACACACCTGCTCGGACCGAATTTAGTTGTGCTTTACGTTTACGAGTGAACAACCCGCATGACCTTAGTTAAATTCGCCTGAGCCGTAGAATTCCGCGTGCTTATAAAGCCACCGAGCTCCTCACAAAAAAAAAATTAAAATGTTAACGTGGGAAATTATTTCATTCCAAATTAAACCAAGCCGCAGCTGCCTCGTCAAGCGAGCTTTTCTGTAAGGTACAGAGGGTACGAGAACGAGTGCGTAGCCAAATTCGATCACGTAGTTTCCGTTTATGTACATGTTGTATTTTCTTTTTCTTTTTTTTTTTTTGCTTCACCACTTTTTTTTTGTTTGTAATGCTTCGGCCTTGCGAGTAAATAAATGAAATGAAATCGTCCCGTGGAAACGGCACCTTTCATCAATGCTGTCGCGGAATGAAATCCATGATCTACTGATGTCCAGTGCATAGCGACCACTTTGGCGATTCCTTAAAGTTCGTCCGTCGGCGATGAACTGCGCGAATAGGTTTAGCGTTGAGCAGATCCCAGCGTTGACGCACATCGCGAGCGGTGAACATATTCACTGTGCACTCCATCAGCTGCACGGTGATCTGATTCGACCGCGGTAGGTCCCGGAATGAATTGCCGAGCTGAACACCAGACAATTTCACGTAACCCTGTACTTCCCGAATACCCTGTCGCCCTTGCTGCGCCAGTCGAAGTAACTGCCATCTTGAAACTGCTGCTCTCGTTGGGCACGAGATCTCTCGAGAGCTTCCCGCAAAGCCCGCTAGCCCCCAACGCAAGATCCCCAGCATTGAGTGCGTACGCAATACGCTAGCTCTTCTACTGCGTTCTGCGCATGCGCACTCACGACCCGCAATTTCCTTGCGTACGCAAAGCTCTAGAGTACGGTCCACTAAAACTCTGTAATATCGCTGGCCGTGAACTGCCAGAGTGTTGCTTTCGCTACGCGTTCGCGGCCTTTCATTTAATTTAAAGAGCACCCGCCTTCTGACGCTGCAAACATGTTGCGCCTACACTACGATGAAACTCGAGATGAGAAATTAAAACAAAACGGTCAAGGAAAACGCAGCTGGGGGTTTATTCATTACAAAGTGTGAGTGGGTAGACATTAAAAGGTTAAAATGCGCGAACAAACAGGACGAAAAAAGACACACGTATGACCACTGACAGGCGCCAACTTACAACAGTTTTATTGAAATACGAATCATCGTCAAACTCGATCTCAATCGCCTAAGCACATCCAACTGATAAAAAATTCTTATCGCTCATTACATACATGCTTCAAAAAACGCAATTTCTATGGTTAACAAAGAGATGGCATGCTTAGACATCTGTCAGCCGCTGTGTGTATACAGATACTCAAATACAAATACACAAATCTGTATACACAAAGCGGCTGACAGATGCGTACGCATGCCATCCCTTTATCTGTTAACCAAAGAAATTGCGTTTCTTGAAGTACGTGTGTAATGAGCGATAAGAATTTTTTATCAGTTGCATGTGTTTAGGCGATTGGGATCGAGTTTGACGATGATTCATATTTCAATAAATCAGTTGGAAGGTGGCGCCTGTCCAAGCCATACGTGTGCCTTTTTTGGTCCTGTTTGTTCGCGCCTTTTAATTTTTTAATAGAAAAAAACCAACTAGCCCCAACCAAAGTTTTATTGTGGATACACATTTCGGCAAAAGGTAAAAAGACAAAACACGTCCCAAAGCTCAGAGCGTTTACAGGCGGTAGTCCGGCTGGTTAATCCTCTCTTAGGTTCACCACACCACTTAGACGGAAAGTGGGCACGCAAATGCCCAAAAAGGAAACATCCCCCAATAGTACAAGAGCTATTCCTACTTTTGACTGAACCCCCGTAATTTTCTTACTTCTTACTACAATCCGCATAACATCAAACCGGATGTCAGGGCAATGAAGAGTAATAAATAAACTTAATATAAACTATACCAACGAGTATGTCTCCAGCAAAGCGGGACGTACGCCTAAATAACACGGTTCAATGTGTTTGGTAAGGCACTTTCGCCACCCAAATGACTCATCAGACAGATTGAGGGACATGTAATTGTAATTTATTTGCACAAGAAGTATGATGCGACGACGTGCGAGGCTAGGCAGAAAAGTAACAACCCTTACGCTTGTGCGCCTGCTAGCCGGTCGCCGCATACACCTTGGATGAGGGGAAAGGAAAAGGGGAAAGCAATTTGGGTAAGTATAAATAGTCAAAACAAAACAGCAAAGCAACAACAGTGGTTATGGTGCCGCAGCTCATGAGGTGTCCGACGTCCCTTGATAGGAGAAGAGCCTGCACAGTTCTCGGGACTCATCATTTGATGCCGGTAGAAGGTTGCGAGCGTTTAGTGGGATAGTTAGAAAGTCTCTGGTGGCGGCGGGGATGAAAGATTTGCTATGGCGAGTGGTTCGGCCGCGGAGCGGCTCGGGCTGACCTGTCCTTTTGCTGACACGCATCACTGATGCGAAGTGGGACCCCGCAAGCGACCCGTCGAGCAGCCGACAGACCGCACGTACACGTGATGTCCGCCTCGTCTGTCCGAGGGGTCGCCACTCGAGTGCCCCAAGACGTGCGTTGTAGGAGACGTCCGCCGCACCGGATGACCGGCTCCAGATGGTTCGGGTCGCCCGACGCTGGACGCTTTCGAGCCGTTCACGAAGGTGCTGCTGAGCGTCGAAGGGGAACGGAAGGACAAGTCTATGACCGCGCTCCAGACCGACTAATCTGGTTATTATTAGCGGTCCCGAAGGATGCAAAAAACGCATTTCCAACTTTTTCCTGTTTAGCTTTCCTCCTCAACTCGTAAATCGCGCATTCTTTCAGAGTTCAAGAAGACGGAAAGGGGGGAGTCCCCTCTTGCTCGTAATCTCGTTTTTGTAGCCGGACACAGCCATTGTCCCCCTAGAAGATTAGCCCGTGGCTCGAAATTCAGACAAAAGTTGCTTTCCCCACCTTGTTCAACCCATAACTGACAGTGCTGTTGAAGCTACGTGCTCGTTGGACCAGCCACACTTTTGTCACGCGATCAC